GGCTGCCACCCCATAGTTTACCACTCCGGGCAACCTCCCACTAACTCCTGAATATCCTGGCCTCCTATCTTTCTGCCATAGCTTCTCGGCAAACTAAGGCTAATCCAACTACCTGCCTTCCCTGCTCTCACAGCCAGGCTATGAGCATGCTGGAGGAAAATCATGCAAACCCGCAGATTTAGGGCTACATAGAATCACACTCGACTGCCCCAGATGATCCTTTGAAAGTATAGGGCAACATTTCATGTGTCCTTCATTGACCATCATTCCTATTCCCCAAACCTGTATCACGTATTTTCAAGCTCCCAGCCCCGCACCTGATGCTTCCCCACCCACCCCGTTCCTTTCAGCAGAAAACCCTGCCTCCTACTTTCCTGCATAAGTTGAGGACATCATGTGAGAGTCTCTTTAATTTCCTAGACACCCACTCCCTAGCCTCACACGCCTTCTTTTAATGCAGTTTCAGGAAGAGGTGGCTTTTCCCCATCCAGTCTAACAGCACCTCTGCATCTGACTCTCTCCATCTCCATAGAAATGTGACTCACTGGCTGTCCTCTTTCTCCCGAACCTACTACCTACTGGCCCATTCCCCTCATCTTAAAACAAAACCAAACCAACAAATGAAACCTCCCTCCAGTCCTGCATTACCTTCTAGCTTCCATTCCCTGCCCTTCCGTTTCCCATCACAGTCAAGTGTCTTTAAAAACACTTTTTTGAAGTATTTCAAACATATCAGAAAAGTAGGGAATAATACGATGATCATCATTTCATGTTGTTTTGCCCTAATAAAACAAGACAACTGGAGCTAAAACTCCCTCAAGCCCCTCACCAGTCTCATTACCTTTGCTTCCTCCCTAGAGGCAACCACTGACCCAAAATTAGTCTTCCTGTCCATGATTATGCACTTCTACTACAGATGTTCCTATAAATATGTAGTACTGCTTTTCATGTCTGTACATTTACATAAGTGATATCATATTTCTCATATTCTGCCACTTGCTTTTTACTCAACGTTATATTTTCAAGATTTATCCTTGTTAATACATATAGCTCCAGTTCATTTTAATTTTTGGCAAGTGCTCCATTATGTGATGATATACTAACATTTGTTGTCTAGTTCCTTAGAAGAGCAGTTTCTACACTATGCTCTTCCTATGTCTCCTCTCCCATCCCCACTTTTACCTCTCCAGCCTGCCTTCTGCTCTTCTCACACTACTCAAACTGCCCTTGTCAGGGTCCCCAGTGACCACATTGCTGCTAAACCCAGAGGACACTTTCAGCCTTTGTCTTCCTGGCCCTCTTTGCAACATTCTTCTCTAGATTTCCTTCTCCTGGGGCTCTCTTCCTTCCTTCCCCCTTCTCTGAGCTCTCAATCGCCATGACCTTCGTGACTGTCCTTCAAGACCAGTGGCTCTCAATGAGGTTGGGGAGATTTTGTCCCCAAGGGACAAAAAATCCCGACAATATCTGGAGACATTGTTGATAGTCACCCCTGGAAAAGAGGCGCTATTGGCATTTAGTGGGCAGAGGCCAGGGATGCTGCTCAACATCCTACAATGCACAGGACAGTCTCATAGCACGATGAATCATCCAACCCCAACTGCCAGCAGTGCTGAGGTTGAGAACCCCTGGTCTAGATGTTGGTCTTCTATGAGGTTCTGATCTGAGCCCTCTTCCCTTCCTACTCTCCACTCTCTTTCTGGGTCACCTTGCCTACTCTTGGAGCCTGCAGAAATAGCTGGACAGGCTACGATTTCCTAGGATTCCCAGAGATTCCACTAAACATGCACTGAAGACATTTCCAGCCCAACAGCTTGCCTTGAGGGCTGGACTTACCCGGACGCTGGGCCGCTCTGGAGTGACCTCGGACACCATGTTGTGGTTGGGTATGTCACTGTTGGTGGTAGCCGGGCGTTTCCCACCTGTTTTATTGGACATGTCCAAGGCTGATCTGATTTCAAGTCAACCAGAAAAAAGAGATTGGTGAGAGCCAAGAAACAATGGAAACCACCCATCCCTTTTCCACACCCTGCCACCCACTGTTTCAGCATCAACACAAAATTAGATCTCTTGAGTGCCATTGAGCAGTCACCTCAGCCACTCCTTCAACCCTTCTGAAATTATATGCTGGTGACCTTGGACAATTATTTATTTTTTGAGACCGCATCATGCTCTGTCACCCAGTCTGTAGCCAGTGGCACAATCAGGACTCACCACAGCCTCGAACTCCTAGGCTCAAGTGATCTTCCCACCTCAGCCTCCATAGGAGATGGGACCACAGGCATGGGCCACCATGCCCAGTTAATTCTTATTTATTTATTTTTTTTAGAGAGACAGAATGTCACTATGTTGCCCAGGATGGTCTTAAACTCCTGGACTCAAATGATCCTCCCACCTTAGCTTCCCAAAACGCTGGGATTACAGGCATGAGCCACCTGTTCCCGGCCCTGGACATTTATTTTAAAAGTCTAGACCCTGGGGCTCCAGAAATCCTTTTCCTCTACTTTAAAAGACACAACTGCCTAGTGGCCTATGAGAGTAGATTATTTAATCCTCTTTTCTCTTCTTCTCCTTTCATTCGGTGAGCCAGGATCCACAGTGAGAGGAATTAGCATTTGGCTCTCATGATCATATCAGATTTTCTCAGCTCTTCCCTCAAAGGCCCCTGGGTGCTATGCCAGCCTCACACCTGTTTTCTACTCCATCAGCTCAACCTGCGGGGTACGCCAACCTGGCTTCTGCTAGACCCTAGGAAAAGTGGATGAGGGTGTTAAGCCAGATGGGTCTCAGATGCTTCCAGTCCTCAGAACCGAGGTGACTGACTGCAAAGCCTTTCTGCTTTCCTTTCCCCTCCCCGTTGCCTTCTGCTTTCCAGCTGCAAGGAGGCGGTGGGATGGTAGTGGTTAAGGACAGAAAGGCCAAACAGCAAGTAGGGGACACACTTACATTTTCAAGTCAAATGTTTTGTTTTCGTCTGGGACCTGGCCAGTCACTGGGTGTAGAAATGTGTTCCTTCTTTCATTGTGGCTATAGAGGGAAAAACAGAAGAGTCATGGTAAAGATGAAGACGGCAGAGACAAAAACCAACATGTGGACAGACCCTGGGTGGTGACAGGGACAGGTGACCATGTAAGGAGCTTGTGCCTCTGTCCTCCAGGGGGATCCATGGGAGGCCTGGGCTGACATCCGGATGAGGGTGGGGGCAGGGGGTGGGGAAAGGAAGAAATGAAACCTGGTCACCTCTCACGAGTCAGTGCTAACTACTTACTAAAGTTATCTGGGGCTGGAAACAAGCCACACTGAACTCTTTCAGTGCTTATCCTAAGTGTGGGGAAGAGGGGTTCCAACAGCCAGTTCAGCACATCAGGGCCTCATGCGTGGCAGGTTCTCTCCCAGGGACAGAGCCTGCCGGTGAGCCACATTTAAAAAAAAAAAAAAGCTCCCTCATTATTTGCTGAAAAAACTTTCTTGTGACCTTGGACTCCTTCTCCTTCTCCTGCTTTATGTTGTGTCTCTTTCTTAAAAGGAAATGGGAGCTCGAAAAACTCCATTCTTGAGCTTGGGCTTGGACCCACCCACACTCTAAGTCCAGGGTCTCCTGTCCAAGGGCTGCTTGATGTCATTGAGACCTCAGGGGCTGTCAGGTATGAAGGTCAGTGGTAGCTCAACAGTCCAATCTCATTAAGGGATGCTGTGGCCAGGAAAGGGGCAGGGTGTTGTGAGGACGGCCTGCCAGGAAGCAGAAGGGAGCAGGAACCAGGGGTTGGGGGGTCAGGGGGTAAGTGCAGAGGCAGATGGGGAGCAGCATCGTGGAGGCTCCATGGGAAGACCTGCTGTGGCTCCTCCGACTGGCTGAGTGTCAGGAGAGTTCCCAAGGAGGCTCTCAAGGGAGATGGGGAGGAAGGCAGCAGACAGAGCGCAGAGGGGCTGATGCAGCAGGTCTAAGCCGCAATGGCAACCCCTGAGATGGATCCTGTAAGCTGTGACTACTTGACAAGAATGTAGCAGTGGAGATTCAAGTATCCAGCCAGTGGAGGGACTAGACGAGTTAAGGGCCTCGTCGCCCATCACTCTTGAGAAATACTGTGAGAACCCAGCGTAGGTGCCAAACTACCGGAAGAAGCAGGCACTAGGCCAGAGGCCATGGAGACTGGGCCACTCAAGCACATCCACAGCAAAGGGCCAGCTCTGCTTGACAAGTGGCAGGTCAGCCAGCAGCAGAGGAAGGAGATCTTAGCTTAGTCCCTTCAGTTGCATCAGAGAAGGAAAATAACCTTTTGGGGGCCCCCTTTCAATAGCCCAGGACACATCCCAACCCTTGGGCTGTCTGCTAAAGCTAAAGATAATATCAAAGACTGTTTTTTTCAGTTTCCAAAGCTGTCACGCTCAGATGTAATCCAAAGACATGCAGGAGATAAAAGCACAGCAGGCAGTGCCTACAGTCTGTGCGGAAATCTGGGCTTTGCAGCTCAGGTTTGCCAGTCAGGACCCAAAATCGGGCGCGTGTCCACCGGGCCTGGGTTCTGAGTCTAGCACGTTGATAAGCCACTCCCTACTTCCCAAACTTTATTCCCACCTCCCTCCCAGGTCCAACAAGGACATGCTCCTCAATTTAATCACAGGGGATCTTTGCAAGGAAGGGTCACTGTTTCCGGTGACCCTTGTCTGCCCCTGATTCTGTCCCATCTAGTGGTCTGGGGGGCAAGCAGTCTGCGGCAACTACAGTGTCCTTTGAGGTGTCAAGTTGTCTGCTTTTTCCCAGTGGCGCAGGGCACCCGCCCCCTGCCCTGACCCTCCAGTCTCCTTCTGCTCTGCGTGTTCCCGATGATAACTGCTGGAATCTTCCCTGCAGGCACTGGCATAGACACACACACACACACACACACACACACACACAGAAGCGTACACACACAGTCTGCTGCCAACCATCACAAGACTTCTAGGGAATGGCACATCTCTCCTAGCCCCAGACTTTCCTACCCAGCAACCCCTACAAATGACGTCCTCATTCTATCCCGGCACTACCAATTTCAAAATAGCTTCCCCTTCACAAGCACTGCAATGCAGCAACCATTGACCTAACTATGCTTCCTTCTCCAGGTCATCTCAAGCAGACCCCTTACTCTGAAGCCCCCGGATCCAAGCAGGATGAGCTGCCAACTCAGCTTGCTCTGACTTAACTTGGCTCATGATCTGTGGAAGAAATCCCTACCTGACCCGTCGATCAGCCCGAAACTTCAACATCTTTTTGGCAGGTCCGTCCCCAGGTTGGCAGCCTCAGAGGACCTGCCGGCCACCCTGCTCCTACCATGCCTCTGAGAAGTAAGTCCTCGGGTCCAACTGGTAAGGCTGTGGCAGAGATGCAGAGCGATCGGTGGCAGAGACTCTGGCAGTTCCCCCTCCTCCTGGCTCTGGCTCTGGAGAACCAGGAGGGCACTCTCCTTGGGTGGTGGTAGGGGTCGCCTAGGTGCCCTAGTAGGCCTGTGGCTTCCTTGTATTCGGCCAGAATGCTACTGGTCAGAGGACTGGAGGCAGAATAAACAAGGAGGGGATGATATCCTCCCCATTCAGCTCCCCAAGGAGAAAATGCTGAAATAGAGAGACAGACATACACGGAGCAGGTGTAGCACTCCCAGGTAGTCCGACCTCAGTGAGCTAAGGACGCAGAGTAGCTGGGCGGGTGAAGGAGTCTGGGGCTGCGTTCCCATCTGCACGGCTGAAACTCATGCCAGCCCGACCTGTAGGGAGACAGTCCTCCTGCCTCCCCAATTCCCAACCCACAACACAGGCTCCTAAGCTGAAAATCAACTTGCTTCTCAGAGATCCTTCAGATCCTGTGGGCATAAGGGTTAAATGAAGCTCCAGATTCATCTGCTGTTATTGCTGCCGCTGCTGAGAAGCTGAGATTGATTGAGCAGGTCTCCTTTCCCTTCTGTCAGCCTGCCCAGCCTTCTTCTGTGTGGACAGGAGCATAATGAATGAAGCTCCTCTGCCCCCGTCCCTCCGACTTGCTCCCCTCGGACAGCACAGGGTTGCTTTCCCTCCCTGTGTGGCGGTCCTACAGATGAGAAGCAAGTCGACCAGATGGGCGTGGACGTTGTGGAGCCAGAGCTGGTGGCTGGGATGGGACTGCTCAGGCAATGTTAAAGGAGAGCTTCCTCCCAAGGCTTGCGAGGAATAGGGCGGCAAATGGGGCTTGAGAGGGGGTCATTGTGTGTTTATGGCTGAAAATCTTCCCAGACACGAGATGATACATTCCAGCTGGTGACTGTCAGATCTGCTCAGAAGCAAGGAGGTTTGTATCGATGCTAATTCCCCTGAATTCTTCAGCGGCTAAAGATGGTCAGCGCTCCCCCTTTCCTAATGTCCTTCATGTCTTAGGATCCTTGGACTGCGAGGGCCTTCCGAAGGACATCGCTGCCATCCCCCTGCTTCTAGGCAAGTCTGTTCTCCAATCAATCCTCATTAAGTTCCTTGGTTTTCTGTAAAGAGTTCTAGCAAAGGAGGCTCCAGACCCACTGTTATCTTATCCTGCCAAGATGTTCTTTTTGATATCACGTTTCAGTTCCTCTGGCTTTCTATATTATTCCATTTCGTCTTCACATGACAGATTCCTTTTTTGACCAACGTGGTTCTTTTTAGCAGCACCAGGCAGCCTGCTGACATCACAGTCTGTTGCTATGGCAATTCTGTGATGTCACAACAGACACTGAAAGGAAGGGGCTAATCTAATTTTTTGGATTGAGCAAGAACTTTATCGGGGAATAATGTCATCAGTGAATGGAAAAGCAAATGGACAACATTATTATTTAACCCATAATGAGACATGTTGGTACGATATAACTGGGGTCAACCGCTGCTGATATTTAAACAGCTTAATCTTAAATCCAGAAGGTCAATACATTCAGCTATTTCATGGGACTTTTGCAAATGATTTATCCTGGTGAGAGGAGGCCTCGGTTTTCAGATCGCTTCCTTTCCCTGTCCCTAATCCAGTTTCTTGGGCCCTCTCCTGATGCCCAGTTGAGGTTCCTGCCCATACAAAACAGGTGCTCGATAAATATTTGTTGAATGAATGAATAATAGAAACTCTCCAGCCCTGACTTAATTTTTAACCACCTGCATTTGGAGTTTGACATTCTATCACCAAGGGCTTCCCTATCTTAGCTCTCTCTTAAAATTAATTACTTCCTCTCCATGAGAGAAGCTCTGCTTCTGCCCCCTCGCCCCCTCACTCAGCTTCCCTGCCTAGCTCCCCCTTGAATACATAGCTTGGCTTTGATCCACCTTCAGTAGGAGGGGAAGAAAATTAAGCTCATCTGCACAGAAGGAGGAGGGGGTAGGGGTGCTTTGGGAAAATGAGCTTTCTTCCTCTAGAAGGCAAAAATATCCCCTTTCTCTTCAAGCTGAGCTCAGGGGCCTCCCACAGCCTTTGCTTAAGCTGCAAGTTAAATTACTTCTCCTATGCCCTGTAAAGATAGCACGAGGGAGTAGGAACGAAGGCAGGCTTGGGGCTTCCCCTGCTCATCGAAAGCTCCGAAATCCTCTGAATTAAGTCTGCACACAGAATGTCTAGCAGGGGTTCTTTCCCTTTGCCAACAAACTGCACAGTATGGCAGATTTTCATTTTAGTTAGACATCAAGAAGAACTTACAAGAGGCAGAACATTAAAAAGGGAAACGATAGGTAATCTGTTTTCTCCTTCCTCTCTCCTTCCTTTTGGGATGTCGAAAGGCTTCCATTTGTCAAGGACAAATGATTATGAATCTATGAATACATATCCAAATGGACCTCTCAAATTCCGCCCAAGAGAAGGGAAAATTTCAGGTGGTGAAAGAGATCGTGTGGTGGAGGTAGAAGCAGTCCTAAACTCCAGAGCAGTCCAGTTGGTGGTCACTTATGCACTATGAGGGTGGCCCTGATGGCAGTGCCGTCAGTGGGAACAAATATGGCAGGACCAAACATTCAGTCCAAGATCCAACCTGAGTTAGCAATGTGACTTTATTTCTTGGGCCCTTAGTTTTCTCATGTGTAAATGAGGTACCTTCTAACTATATGAAATAATAGTGCTTGCTTCACCAGCACACATGCTAACTCTATGAAATAATAGCTGTAAACTTTCAAAATGTGGACCATTTGATGCAGAAGAGATAATGGCTGTGAAAAACAAATTAAGAAATATGCCAGATGCAAGAGCGAAAAAATGAAAAACACATAGTCCCAGGCTTAAGAAGATTGTGTATGCAGCATGGCTGGGAGTGCCAGGGGCAGGCACTCTGGAAGTCCCAAGACCAATAAATTACAAAGAAAAGAAGCAGATCCTCTCCATTTTCCAGGCCTTTGTCTCTGCACCTACTTAAAGCTTTCCTGTAGTTCAAGAGACATCCTCAGCCCCTACAGCACCTCACATAGAGATAACACTGCATTGTTTCATCTCCAAACATCCCCCTGGAGAGTCAGCATCCACATGCAGTATACCTGGCACTACACTGTCAAGAGTGGCAAAAATTAATCCAAGTTTCATGATCTTTTGTAGGCATGCATGTTCACACATGTGCACACGTGCACACACACACCCAGGCTGGATGCCTGGAACCCCACTGTGATCAATATTGAACGACTGGAGAGATACTCCACTCCTTCCACCCACTGGGCCTCTCTTGATTATCTGCTGTACACCAAGCTGCTTCATTTCCATAGCTCCTGAGAATCTGCTGACAAAGAATTAGCCCTGGCCTGGCTTCCCCATCCTGAGGATGCCTTGGCTTCCAGCATTACAGCTCATTAGGTTGAGAGAGGTTTGCGTGCAAGGCAAGTGGAAAGGGGGTCCCATCCCTCCCACTTCCTTCTTTCTCCTAGCTAGCAAATTCCAAGCCGAGACTGTCCACACTCCAGGGAGGATTGCTGCTGCCACAGAGGAGGGGAAGGTGGGGAGAGGGTTGGTTCCTGCTCTGTGCCTCCCCATCTGGATCTCATCATTATTTTCAAGGAGGCTTATCTGCTCCAGCATCCTGTCCCAATTAAAAACCAACTCAGTTTATGTTTCCAGCCATTTTCATGCACCTGACTCCTGAAGCTCCCCCTGCCATCTCCAGGAGAAAATACACTTTCCTAGCCACTTCTCATTTGAAGCTCTCTGGTTTCCTACATATTGCTGCCACATAAAGAAGAGGTCAAAGAGGGTCAGGCCCTGGCAGCCCCTCTAGGTATTTGCAGGTAGGAAGGAGCTCCTCCAAACAACACTGCCTTAGCCAGGCATGGTGGCACATATCTGTAGTCCCAGCGACTCAGAGGCAGAGGCAGAAGGATCACTTGAGCCCAGGAGGTCGAGACTGCAGTGAACTATGATCGCATCACTGCACCCCAACCTGAGGTGCAAGACTCCCATCTCTAAAAATAACAGAGTAAGACCCCCGTCTCTAAAAACAACAGAGCAAGACCCTGTCTCTAAAAAACAGAGTAAGATCCCCATCTCTAAAAAAAAAAAAAAAAAAAGTAAGACCCCCATCTCTAAAAAACAACAGAGCAAGACCCCCGTCTCTAAAAACAACAATACCCACTGTCTCTCCTCCATGTGCTCCTTGAAGATCAAAATACCAGTTCTCTGGGTGCTGGAGACCAGCTGCCAGTGGTTGTCATCCAGCCTTGTACTTGCTTTTGCCTTTCTTCTTTGCCCTTGCTCATCCCCCACTTTGATGCCACAGTTATTTCCAAAGTGTCAAGAAGATGGTACGTCTCTGCCCCAAGCCAGTTTATTGAAACGTCCTAAGCTACTCAGCTGCATGTCTAGGAGACAAGACCCATGCTGCTCCCTTTCCTGCTTAACTCTGCCCATCCTCACCACACCCCCAGCCCCATCCCAAACCTGTTATGGGCGGTTATGGAAGGCTGGGCATGTTCTATGTGAGCCCAGCTCCCACCACAGACAGAAGATAGAAGAGATGGCTCCATGGACAAGGGAGAGAAATCACAAATCAGGGGGCTAGGTCCAGGTTTCTTCCCTTCCAGCCCAGGTGCTCTCCTTCCCCCATTCTCTCACTGTAGTGTCTCCCAGCCCCTGCTCTGGGCCTGGGTGGTCCCTTATCCCTATGAGAGGAGATAGGAAGGCCTAAGATGGCAGGCTGAGAGCAGGAGGGCAAGGTGTACTTCAGTCAGGGTAATGGGTTCGAGCTCGTGTGTGTGCACGCACATATGTGTGCATGAGAGAAAACATGGAGATTATACAGGGGAACTTCATTCTGACCTCCCACCCTAGCTTGGTTCGTCTTTAAACTTGTTGTTTCACTTTATGGAATTCTATTTGTCTTCTGAAAAATGAAGACAACCAAAGTAGACAGCATAACCATGCCAGTGATCCAAATACTGAAGCTCTTCCATGTTGGTGGGTGAAAAGCTGCTCCCCCAAGTCCCTCGAGTGTCCCTGCCCCACCTCTGGGCCAGAGCCTGAGACCTCCTCACATCTCCATGACCCAGAGACAAAAGAGTTAATGCCTGGCACCACAGGGCCCTCCAAGACTCCAGTCCAACGTCCTTTCTGGTTGATGAATTATTGAATATCATTCCCGGGTACAGCCAGACCTTAACTGTCTCAACACTGAAGTGTCTTCCAATTGCGGAGAACTGCGATTCTACCACCAGAAGCTGCCATGGGCAGACTGGGAGACACTTTCTCCTTCACCCTGACCCAACTTGGAGAACTGGGGCAATCCAGCTCCCTGGAGCTCCTCCTTGTGCTGTGTGCTCTTGTTTTGTTCCCTTCTAAAGAGAGGGGAAATTCAAAGGAGAAGCAGCTGCCTACAGCTCTGGGTTTTCCTCCTCTCAGCCTTTCCTCAGTAGCTAAGCCAGACAGAAGCAGAGAAAAAAGGCCCCAGCCCCCTCGCCTCCAAGTTGCCTTCTCCTGACAGCCAGCAATGTGGAACGGATCCCAAGGGGTAACAGGGCAGGGCAATAATTAATTATGCCCCACCCCCCTTCCAGCTCTGAGTTGAATCTCAAACCCCTGCCCTTCAGAGGCTGAGGCAGCCCAGCTGTCCACCACCGGGTCTACAGAAGGTCACTGAAACCATGTCTCTGCATCCCTAACTCAGCAGATCTGCTTCTGGTGTCCTACGGAGAGCAGCAATCCCACCCTGCCCCACCCCACAAAAGGAATTTTACAAAGTGGATGTTTGGAGAGTTATGAAGCTGGCTGATTTCTCTCCTTCCCCATCATCAAAAGCTACCAGTGCCTTCTTGGTTCCCAATCCAGCAATTTGAGAATCAAGCTGTCTGGTGTCTTAGTTTTCTCATTTTAACAGGGAAACAAAGGTATTGAGTGATGCCTTCTTCAGTAGACAACACAAATCTCCCACTGGACGAGACAGCAGAGGAAGAAAGGTTATGATGCTCTGAAGGCATATGGAACAAAGAGAAAAATAAAACTCATGCAGTCTCTGGTCCTTACCCTGGGAGGGAAGCAAGGAAGGCCCATTTC